AATTCATAAATTATACCGACTTAATCCTAGAAGAACGCCAACTTACCTATACAGCTCGGGGGTGATGTAAAGCCAGAAGGATCACGACACACAGTATCATAGTGTTGGTTGCTTATTTCGTATCCATGGTTACAGGTAACTGTATATTCAATGACATCACCATTGTTGTTAGTTCTTGTGGAGTTCACATTTGAATTTGATATCTGAGGCAACGGGCAATGCGCTGGAGTGTAACCGATAATCAATATGCAAAGAAATTTCCTGTTAGTCAATTCATTTCCAAACGGAAGTAGGGACAGAGAGTGGTTGTTTGTGTTTAGTTTAAACATTTTAAAAGAGCACAGCACTGAGAGTAGTGAAGACGAGTAGGGAAGACAAGCAGCAAGGAAGGAAACAGGAAAGCATGCAGCAGATTGAACTATGAAGGACTAAAATATTACCTTCACAGCTTGGGGGTGATGCAAACACTGGAGGATTCATACATCTCCCCTCGTAGTTGATATTGGTCAAATGGTATCCGTCATCACAAGTTACGTTATACAGACTAAACAAACCATCTTGGTTATCGTCATGTAGTTTCAAACCCGTGACATTTCCATTTGGTATTGTTGGTGGATTGCAAACAGCTACAGTAAACAGAAGAGTGGGATGAAATTAGCAGAAAATTATGGGTGCGTGGAGAAATTGTGACTCAATATACTTTTTTAGTCTGATGACTGAACTGATGGATCATTGCCAAGCTTTTATGACCTGTATTTTGATGCCTGTGAATTGGCTGACTCAATCCTAAGGGAAGATATCCCAGAACTAATTACTGAGGACCAACATCTAGGGATTGCACTTGATTCAGATTAGTGTCTTGGACTCCCCATGTCAACTATATTTGTGAACGCTCCAGCGCTTCTCTTGGTGTGCGTTTCTCTCACTGCTACTTTCTCCCAACCTCTTGCACAATTCCTTTCTATTCCTCCTATCCTCACTGTCTTTTCGACTACACATACGTTTCTTGGGCTGGCTTAAATAGAATAGACATCTGATCATCCAGCCACCTCACCCTCACTGATCTATGCACTGCGATGTACTGCGCACATCTCATGACGTCTATAGACATCATCAGCACGGAAAAGGTTAAAAGCGATTTAAAACTATTGTCTTCAAATCCAAGTTTTCCAATATCCTCTGTGTATTCGTACTTAGCACGTCTGTCACTTCAAAGCCTGGAAATGTGCTCTTATGTGCTCACAAATATTTCCTGTAGATAATGCTGCAAATATTTTCTAGCCATTCATCCAGTATTTTCAACCTTCACGGATGAGACCTTTCAATGGTCGAAACAGCACTGTATGGAGGAACACATTATGTGCATGTCGATCTCTACAAATTGCAGTACTGTGGCTGGTGTAATCTGGTCGGCCAAAAATACCACCCAATGTCCATGTACCAGCTTCCAAGCCCAGGGATTATACTAGAGGGGAAACTGTGTGTTTCTGATGTCTATTTCTCCAAAAAGAAAGCCCTAACAAGAACGGAATTTCTGCCAGGTTTCGTCTCAATAAGAACTGAATTAGGAAAAAACATAATAATATCGCGGCTGCTTGACTCCATGTGCAACAGTACATTGTGCAGTTCCAACCCCAGTAGAGGTATCTTGTTTGGACCCTTTTCAAATCTCGTGATACTGCTCTCTGTACTATAAATCCGCAAATTGACACACATTATAACGGATCTCACCAGACTCGTTATGGACAGCAGTAAGAGACAAGCCGAAGATATCTAAACATTGAATCCAGCAGTTTTCCATTTTTAACATTGAGAAATCACTTACCCACACATGCTGGGGGAGTCGGAAACAAGGGCGGATGCCGGCAATATTGATCATAGCTGCTGTTGGTCAATTTGTACCATGTATCACATAGCGCAGTGTACTTGTTGAAACGTGGAGAAGAGTCTCTGATGCGTTCACCAATGCCAGAGCCATAGTTTATTGTTGGCAGTGTACAAACAGCTATACACAGACAACAAACAAACAAACGATGCAGTAGCCAGTAAAGGGTTTCAAACCTTTATTCTCACGATGGCCTGTAGCCAATAAGAGATTTTTTATTTTTTTATTTTATTTATATTTTTTACTAGAGCCACGTAAACCCGTCATGTGGGAGCCATGAATAAGGGGAGTGGTGGCGTGGTCTGAGATGCTCTGCCGCCCTTGGGTCTCAGCTTCATCACAACCAGGCGCGTCAATAGCAGAGAGAGAGAGAGAGGAAGAGAGATAATAATTATAGTGAGATAAATATGATGCGGAAGCTTCATGGCTAGCAGTGATCAAATTAGATGTACGGGTGAGCGTGGCTCGTGCACGAGCAGATTGAACTGATCAGCAGTGTTGATAATTATAATCTTGCTTAAACAAAGCTGGTGATTGAATATCGAGTAACGTTGATGAGTCCATTGAAATAATGGAGAGATTTGTACAGAGGAGAATCAAGGCAGCGGTCGGTTCTTGCAGTTGGCAAATGCCAAGTGCGAGTGTGCCGGAGGCACTAGCCTGTCCTGGCACGATTTGGGGCTGCAAGCATTAGAATATGAGACGGGGCGTAATTGTGGTGGATGGAGCGAGCAAACAATATATGTTTAGCTTTAAAGCGTGGTTACAGCGATGCTTGCATAAGAGTACAGGGACAGGATGCGGGTTACGTAACATCTTGTGTCTGTTCCTGGAGTGAGCCGTCATGACGGCAGCTAACACCCGAAAAAAACACAGCGGCAGATGCAGTGCGTAACGGCGAGGTGACGGGATAAGTCTCACAACCACTGGCACAACTGCCAAAAAACATTAGCCCCATCCATGTACCCCTTGTGCCTGGCCACAAGTTCCCAGTTGACCGTGGGTAGCAGCACATGAGGAAAAACCACGTCCAGACAGAACTTGAACCAAGTAGCTCTACTACCTCGATCATGACCTTTGATACATCCAGTGGGTGTACTCGATTATGCCAGCGAATCTTTGTTTAAATCATTCCTGAATAGTACCTGGCTATTCACATCTCATCACATTCACATTCTGCCGTCGTGAGTCCCATTCGGAACGGCTGCGAGAATACCAATAGTGATAATAATAGAATTTAAATATCCGACGAGGAGACAACAGTCGTAAAATAGCAATGAAAAATATCAATTGTGCACTCATAACCATGTATAAACAATTAAAATGAAACAATTCCAGAACGTTTTCGTGTGACCATCATCAGTGGAACATCGCCACATAATAAGAATCGCTAAAACAACCAGTTATATAGCTAGAGTATTATGAATAGGCACTGACAGCTGCCACATTCATCTACTGCTACCATTCACAGATACACTGCAAAGGTTCACACTACACGCGTTGTGCATAACCGCTGGCTGTGCTGCATTCTCACGCTTCTTTTCATAATACTATATAACTGGTTGTTTTAGTGATTCTTATTATGTGACGATGTTCCACTGATGATGGTCACACGAAAACGTTCTGGAATTGTTTCATTTTAATTGTTTATACATGGTTATGAGTGCACAATTGATATTTTTCATTGCTATTTTACGATAATAATAGTGATAACGGTAATGATAATAGTGCCGTGGTTGGCAATCACCCACACTCTTAATATTGGTCTTGAGATATTGTAATAAAAATTATAATAAATTAACATCACCCCATAGGAATAGTAACTCCTTGTCAGTTTTTGTGCCATTTTGTCGCACTCGCTGACTGTATAAGATCTGGTTACGTTGGTGGACAGTTAGTCATAATTCGTAACATTTTGTCCTTCTTCTTTTCACCATATGAATAGGTTGAGTATTTTCTGAACAGATTGCAGGGCTCGTGACATGATGTTGAACGACGACATGCCATTCGTGAATCGCTTCATGGCAGTAACTTTAATAATCGAACGCACCCGCTGATTCTGCATAGTTCAGTTATAATTACATATACTATACATACATACACAATACAATACTTTACATATACTATACATATATGATATTGACCAAGACGAGGCCCATATTTCCCATATAGACCGAAGTCAAGGTCAATATCCTATTTATCACAATTCCGCTGCCATAACCCCAAAATTTGAACCGTTAGGAGCTATTTTAACCTTTTTAGTATAGCATTTGTACTATAGTGTACATAGGATGTTGCCTCTTTTGGGTACAAGACTGTAAGAACAACAGGGTTCAGCATCTGCACCACAGTGGCTGGGTGGTTTAAGGGGTTGCTTGAGATTCATACTATTGTGGGCTCGAATCCTGCTTCTTTTCTTCCTTTGTCTTCTTTCTTTCAAATTTTCCAAGTCCCTCCAAAGTCGTAAGATTACAATGCCTAAGTGGTCGATACAAGCGGTCGATACAAGTGGTCGATATTACGGCGATATGGGTAATATAGGACCAGTCGGGAATGGCACGTATTCACTGAAGGCGCACGTGACTAGAGCTGCGGGGAAACAAGTAGGTTTTCTCATTTGCGTACATAGTAAATTTGCAATTTACTCTTGACTTGTTGAGCCGTCTCGAACATTGTATTCCACAAATTCCACTTCGTTGGGTCACTACTATTGTATACCTTGAAGACCAGTAGTCTATATCGAAAGAAACTCACAAGTTCCAGCGATTAGAGCAACTTCTTTTCCGCGCATTTGTATGCATTTGTATGCGGAATCGAACAAGTGTCCCCCCACTGGGCCCCCAGCGTCCATATCATTAATGCAGCGTGGGCGTCCGCCATTTTAGATGAATACGTGCCATTAGTGGAGGTGGATATAGAAGAGTGATAAACATACTATACATGGATTTGATCACTGGCTTCCACTGGATTCTAGTATACAAGTCTTCAGATACTGTAGTATACAAGTCGTTTAGCAAGTTCTTTCTGTACATTATCAATCGGGTAGAACGACCTCGAAAATAACGACACATTGGATTTACCCGACCTTAAAATACACAGAGTGTAACTATGTTCGTGTCGCATCATGCGGAGTGGCATGCATGGGATATGTCTGTTTTTGTTGTTGTTTTTTTACGAGAAACCACAAACCTCGAGAACAGAATACTGCATGATAGAGGTAGCTGCACACGCAACTGGGGTAGTGAAACCGGAGCATCTCCGTCGACCTGAGGTCTCGGCTTCAGCGACACTTTAGTGGACAAAAAGGTGGTGAGGAGTGGGCTGTGCCACTTACCCGGACCCCTGGGTCACTCCATGCATTCTTTTCACTGCACATTATAGCCAGAGTCATGGCTGCGGTGTAGCCATGGCAGCACATTATAGCCAGAGCCACGGCTGCGGTGTAGCCATGGTAGTTGTATGCATGACTTTTGGTTTGCCGCTAAACTCAATTTGTCGTTATATCGAAGGTCGTTATATTCAATCTCCACTGTACAGACTAAAAGAAGAACACACTTAAGACAGTCTCCGATGATATTTAAGTTGGTAGTGGCACACAGGGACGACCCTCTGTGATGTGTTCTGCATTAACCAGCCCCTGGCAGTACTGGTTTGCAGAGTTACTGAAAAGCAGCTTCTGGATCGCATGAAGCTAATGTATTGTACAAGTATCTTCCTGAGGTAAGGCTGTAGTTTATTCCACAGTGACAAGTATTGAACTCTAGCACAACGTGTACCCTTTTGGCTTCGTGTTTTACCCTGTGATGGGAGGATTATCCTGCCCGACTCCCATCCCATCCGATTCCTATCCAACACTACTCTTATTAGTATCCCAGTCTTATACTATCCAACTCTTATATTCTCCGAATGTTATACCATCCGACCGTTGTGCTATCGGACTTTTTGCTTTCCGAGTTTTATCCTCTCTGACTCTGCTTCACGTTCAACACAACGCTGATGGTAAGCGATGTAAGGGCCTGTCCCGACGGCTGGGGACCTGGGGTGAGCTGTAAAATATTGTACGATTCGGACGGCATGGTATGCAGTGTGACAGCTCGTGGAAATATTTGATCCAGGACTGATAATAAATCAACAAGTTTGTAACAAGAGGATTTACAATACAGCATTGATACTCATGGGACGGGCTGAGTCACCCGTTATCTTTGTCCAAGCGTATGCTTTTATTGGAAATTTTCCAATTCATAAAATATACCGACTCAATCCTAGAAGAATGCCAACTTACCTATACAGCTCGGGGGTGAGGTAAAGGCAGAAGGATCACGACACACCGTATTATAGTGTTGATTGCTTATTTCGTATCCATGGTTACAGGTAACTGTATATTCAATGGCATCACCATTGTTGTTAGTTCTTGTGGAGTTCACATTTGCATTTGATATATGAGGCAAGGGGCAATGCGCTGGAGAGCAACCGATAATCAATATGCAAAGAAATTTCCTGTTAGTCAATTCGTTTCCAAACGAAAGTAAGGACAGAGAGTGGTTGTTTGTGTGTCGGTTTAAACATTTTAAAATAGCACAGTACTGAGAGTAGGGAAGACGAGTAGGGAAGACGAGTAGGGAAGACGAGTAGGGAAGACGAGTAGGGAAGACGAGTAGGGAAGACGAGTAGGGAAGACGAGTAGGGAAGACGAGTAGGGAAGACGAGTAGGGAAGACGAGTAGGGAAGACGAGTAGGGAAGACGAGTAGGGAAGACGAGTAGGGAAGACGAGTAGGGAAGACGAGTAGGGAAGACGAGTAGGGAAGACGAGTAGGGAAGACGAGTAGGGAAGACGAGTAGGGAAGACGAGTAGGGAAGACGAGTAGGGAAGACGAGTAGGGAAGACGAGTAGGGAAGACGAGTAGGGAAGACGAGTAGGGAAGACGAGTAGGGAAGACGAGTAGGGAAGACGAGTAGGGAAGACGAGTAGGGAAGACGAGTAGGGAAGACGAGTAGGGAAGACGAGTAGGGAAGACGAGTAGGGAAGACGAGTAGGGAAGACGAGTAGGGAAGACGAGTAGGGAAGACGAGTAGGGAAGACGAGTAGGGAAGACGAGTAGGGAAGACGAGTAGGGAAGACGAGTAGGGAAGACGAGTAGGGAAGACGAGTAGGGAAGACGAGTAGGGAAGACGAGTAGGGAAGACGAGTAGGGAAGACGAGTAGGGAAGACGAGTAGGGAAGACGAGTAGGGAAGACGAGTAGGGAAGACGAGTAGGGAAGACGAGTAGGGAAGACGAGTAGGGAAGACGAGTAGGGAAGACGAGTAGGGAAGACGAGTAGGGAAGACGAGTAGGGAAGACGAGTAGGGAAGACGAGTAGGGAAGACGAGTAGGGAAGACGAGTAGGGAAGACGAGTAGGGAAGACGAGTAGGGAAGACGAGTAGGGAAGACGAGTAGGGAAGACGAGTAGGGAAGACGAGTAGGGAAGACGAGTAGGGAAGACGAGTAGGGAAGACGAGTAGGGAAGACGAGTAGGGAAGACGAGTAGGGAAGACGAGTAGGGAAGACGAGTAGGGAAGACGAGTAGGGAAGACGAGTAGGGAAGACGAGTAGGGAAGACGAGTAGGGAAGACGAGTAGGGAAGACGAGTAGGGAAGACGAGTAGGGAAGACGAGTAGGGAAGACGAGTAGGGAAGACGAGTAGGGAAGACGAGTAGGGAAGACGAGTAGGGAAGACGAGTAGGGAAGACGAGTAGGGAAGACGAGTAGGGAAGACGAGTAGGGAAGACGAGTAGGGAAGACGAGTAGGGAAGACGAGTAGGGAAGACGAGTAGGGAAGACGAGTAGGGAAGACGAGTAGGGAAGACGAGTAGGGAAGACGAGTAGGGAAGACGAGTAGGGAAGACGAGTAGGGAAGACGAGTAGGGAAGACGAGTAGGGAAGACGAGTAGGGAAGACGAGTAGGGAAGACGAGTAGGGAAGACGAGTAGGGAAGACGAGTAGGGAAGACGAGTAGGGAAGACGAGTAGGGAAGACGAGTAGGGAAGACGAGTAGGGAAGACGAGTAGGGAAGACGAGTAGGGAAGACGAGTAGGGAAGACGAGTAGGGAAGACGAGTAGGGAAGACGAGTAGGGAAGACGAGTAGGGAAGACGAGTAGGGAAGACGAGTAGGGAAGACGAGTAGGGAAGACGAGTAGGGAAGACGAGTAGGGAAGACGAGTAGGGAAGACGAGTAGGGAAGACGAGTAGGGAAGACGAGTAGGGAAGACGAGTAGGGAAGACGAGTAGGGAAGACGAGTAGGGAAGACGAGTAGGGAAGACGAGTAGGGAAGACGAGTAGGGAAGACGAGTAGGGAAGACGAGTAGGGAAGACGAGTAGGGAAGACGAGTAGGGAAGACGAGTAGGGAAGACGAGTAGGGAAGACGAGTAGGGAAGACGAGTAGGGAAGACGAGTAGGGAAGACGAGTAGGGAAGACGAGTAGGGAAGACGAGTAGGGAAGACGAGTAGGGAAGACGAGTAGGGAAGACGAGTAGGGAAGACGAGTAGGGAAGACGAGTAGGGAAGACGAGTAGGGAAGACGAGTAGGGAAGACGAGTAGGGAAGACGAGTAGGGAAGACGAGTAGGGAAGACGAGTAGGGAAGACGAGTAGGGAAGACGAGTAGGGAAGACGAGTAGGGAAGACGAGTAGGGAAGACGAGTAGGGAAGACGAGTAGGGAAGACGAGTAGGGAAGACGAGTAGGGAAGACGAGTAGGGAAGACGAGTAGGGAAGACGAGTAGGGAAGACGAGTAGGGAAGACGAGTAGGGAAGACGAGTAGGGAAGACGAGTAGGGAAGACGAGTAGGGAAGACGAGTAGGGAAGACGAGTAGGGAAGACGAGTAGGGAAGACGAGTAGGGAAGACGAGTAGGGAAGACGAGTAGGGAAGACGAGTAGGGAAGACGAGTAGGGAAGACGAGTAGGGAAGACGAGTAGGGAAGACGAGTAGGGAAGACGAGTAGGGAAGACGAGTAGGGAAGACGAGTAGGGAAGACGAGTAGGGAAGACGAGTAGGGAAGACGAGTAGGGAAGACGAGTAGGGAAGACGAGTAGGGAAGACGAGTAGGGAAGACGAGTAGGGAAGACGAGTAGGGAAGACGAGTAGGGAAGACGAGTAGGGAAGACGAGTAGGGAAGACGAGTAGGGAAGACGAGTAGGGAAGACGAGTAGGGAAGACGAGTAGGGAAGACGAGTAGGGAAGACGAGTAGGGAAGACGAGTAGGGAAGACGAGTAGGGAAGACGAGTAGGGAAGACGAGTAGGGAAGACGAGTAGGGAAGACGAGTAGGGAAGACGAGTAGGGAAGACGAGTAGGGAAGACGAGTAGGGAAGACGAGTAGGGAAGACGAGTAGGGAAGACGAGTAGGGAAGACGAGTAGGGAAGACGAGTAGGGAAGACGAGTAGGGAAGACGAGTAGGGAAGACGAGTAGGGAAGACGAGTAGGGAAGACGAGTAGGGAAGACGAGTAGGGAAGACGAGTAGGGAAGACGAGTAGGGAAGACGAGTAGGGAAGACGAGTAGGGAAGACGAGTAGGGAAGACGAGTAGGGAAGACGAGTAGGGAAGACGAGTAGGGAAGACGAGTAGGGAAGACGAGTAGGGAAGACGAGTAGGGAAGACGAGTAGGGAAGACGAGTAGGGAAGACGAGTAGGGAAGACGAGTAGGGAAGACGAGTAGGGAAGACGAGTAGGGAAGACGAGTAGGGAAGACGAGTAGGGAAGACGAGTAGGGAAGACGAGTAGGGAAGACGAGTAGGGAAGACGAGTAGGGAAGACGAGTAGGGAAGACGAGTAGGGAAGACGAGTAGGGAAGACGAGTAGGGAAGACGAGTAGGGAAGACGAGTAGGGAAGACGAGTAGGGAAGACGAGTAGGGAAGACGAGTAGGGAAGACGAGTAGGGAAGACGAGTAGGGAAGACGAGTAGGGAAGACGAGTAGGGAAGACGAGTAGGGAAGACGAGTAGGGAAGACGAGTAGGGAAGACGAGTAGGGAAGACGAGTAGGGAAGACGAGTAGGGAAGACGAGTAGGGAAGACGAGTAGGGAAGACGAGTAGGGAAGACGAGTAGGGAAGACGAGTAGGGAAGACGAGTAGGGAAGACGAGTAGGGAAGACGAGTAGGGAAGACGAGTAGGGAAGACGAGTAGGGAAGACGAGTAGGGAAGACGAGTAGGGAAGACGAGTAGGGAAGACGAGTAGGGAAGACGAGTAGGGAAGACGAGTAGGGAAGACGAGTAGGGAAGACGAGTAGGGAAGACGAGTAGGGAAGACGAGTAGGGAAGACGAGTAGGGAAGACGAGTAGGGAAGACGAGTAGGGAAGACGAGTAGGGAAGACGAGTAGGGAAGACGAGTAGGGAAGACGAGTAGGGAAGACGAGTAGGGAAGACGAGTAGGGAAGACGAGTAGGGAAGACGAGTAGGGAAGACGAGTAGGGAAGACGAGTAGGGAAGACGAGTAGGGAAGACGAGTAGGGAAGACGAGTAGGGAAGACGAGTAGGGAAGACGAGTAGGGAAGACGAGTAGGGAAGACGAGTAGGGAAGACGAGTAGGGAAGACGAGTAGGGAAGACGAGTAGGGAAGACGAGTAGGGAAGACGAGTAGGGAAGACGAGTAGGGAAGACGAGTAGGGAAGACGAGTAGGGAAGACGAGTAGGGAAGACGAGTAGGGAAGACGAGTAGGGAAGACGAGTAGGGAAGACGAGTAGGGAAGACGAGTAGGGAAGACGAGTAGGGAAGACGAGTAGGGAAGACGAGTAGGGAAGACGAGTAGGGAAGACGAGTAGGGAAGACGAGTAGGGAAGACGAGTAGGGAAGACGAGTAGGGAAGACGAGTAGGGAAGACGAGTAGGGAAGACGAGTAGGGAAGACGAGTAGGGAAGACGAGTAGGGAAGACGAGTAGGGAAGACGAGTAGGGAAGACGAGTAGGGAAGACGAGTAGGGAAGACGAGTAGGGAAGACGAGTAGGGAAGACGAGTAGGGAAGACGAGTAGGGAAGACGAGTAGGGAAGACGAGTAGGGAAGACGAGTAGGGAAGACGAGTAGGGAAGACGAGTAGGGAAGACGAGTAGGGAAGACGAGTAGGGAAGACGAGTAGGGAAGACGAGTAGGGAAGACGAGTAGGGAAGACGAGTAGGGAAGACGAGTAGGGAAGACGAGTAGGGAAGACGAGTAGGGAAGACGAGTAGGGAAGACGAGTAGGGAAGACGAGTAGGGAAGACGAGTAGGGAAGACGAGTAGGGAAGACGAGTAGGGAAGACGAGTAGGGAAGACGAGTAGGGAAGACGAGTAGGGAAGACGAGTAGGGAAGACGAGTAGGGAAGACGAGTAGGGAAGACGAGTAGGGAAGACGAGTAGGGAAGACGAGTAGGGAAGACGAGTAGGGAAGACGAGTAGGGAAGACGAGTAGGGAAGACGAGTAGGGAAGACGAGTAGGGAA